CCCTTACAGAAGCACCGTTGCGGAAATGCTTCGGCCGCCACTCTTGCTTTCAGGGCACTTCTGTTGCGAGCCCCAGTGTCTGTAGTGAGTTGCTCAAGGCAAGCGTGAGCAGACCCGAGCTAGTTGCGCTAGTCAACCACTGGCGCCATGCCCGTGTTTTGGTGCATTATCGTGATGTGCGAATAGAGAAGCTAGGGAAACGTGAGCCGCACCAGTAAATTATTGGCGCGCGTCAGTATCTTGATGAATGTGTATTGAAGCCAGGGAGAAATGACAAAGTTGCTGGCTGGCGCGCAGCATGACAAGTTGTCGCTGTCCAATCAGCTGCTCGGATATTGGGCCAATTGTTCGGCAATATTTCCAAGAAATGGCGATATCAAGACCCGAGGGAGAGCTGAAGAAAGGGTGCCAGGCGGCCGGTGTTTGGTGGCACAGGGGCAACGTGAGTTCAATGCAGAGTGAGGTTGACATTGAATTGAAAAGCAGGATTAGAAAGGCCCATGCAAAGCTTGTTTTCCTCCATAGAACCAAGAGCCAATGGGCGAAATGGGCGCTCTGACTGGTTGCCGCGCAGGCCGCAGAGGTCTGCAAGCCCGTGAAGGCCAATGACGGAGTCTTCTGGGTCAGCAAGGCGCGGTCCGCGTCCTTTCGCGGTGTCCTTCACTGAGTTCCCGGGCTTGAAAAACTTTTCTGGGCAGATCCTTCCAGTGGGAAATAAAAACAGCTTACATGTTTTTTTGTTTGTTTTTTTTCTGCCAATCCATGAAGTCATTAGTTCAAAAAGATCAGTATGGTTGAACCTAGATTTTTTACTGTTAGGGTGATGCTACGAACTTCCTGAGCTAAATGGTGGTTTGGACTTGATGGCATTTCAGGATTGACCACGTGGGTGACTCTTAAAATGGGGGGGCGCCCTCAAAATGGTTGGTTTCCTTTTGGTTTCCCCCTAAAACCACTCCAAAAGGGGGATCCTCAAAAAAGGGCACCCAAATATGGAATCAGATGTTATGATTGTCGCTGTACCGGACTTGGTCCCTTGGCCAAGATGTTGAAGGGGAGCTAGAAGCAGGATCCTCAAGCCATCTAGTTGTTTGCCTTCCGACCTTTTTCCCCTGTTGTTGAGGGGTGCCCCAAGGATTCCTTTTTTCAACCGGAGTCACTGACTAGGTATTCAGATCCATGCTTCTTTTCGTGTTGGCAGGGTGGGAAACACATAGGACCCCCTTGGCAAAGTTCTATTTGGGTATGAAGTTCTGCGAGCCAAGTAGCCCCTCTTTTGGCGAAGAGCCCCCGGTGGATGCCAGTTGCAAGCCACAAGAGCTACGCAACCTGTTGGAAGCGGGTGAACCCCTTGCTTGCCTTGTAGAGTCAATGGGATTGGAAGTGTGGGAGTCTGCAATATGGGCTCTGCTTTTTTTTGATTTTGTTTCAACTCCAAAAAGGAGCCTGTATATCTTTCCCTGAACCAGTGTTCCTCGTTGATAGGATCCTCTTAAGGCCAAAGGGAAGGCAAATCATTTCTTTTGCGGGTTCCCGCATTGGAATAACACTTGAACCACACCCGTGTTTGGTTCGGCACTTGAAGCTCACCGATGGTTTTGATACAGCCAACTTTCCCAGGACTTTCGGCTTGGGATGCCTTCCTCCAGGTCTTCCTTGAAATGCTTGGCGGCCCTGAAGTCACGAGCAATACGAATCCTTTTGATTCTCCAATCTGGTTTATGTGGCTAGCAAGTCAATCTGTTTGGTTGGTTCCTGAAGGTTTTAGACATTCCATGTTTGGTTGCCTTGAGGTGTTCATCTCAACACGTAACCTGATTCTAAAGAACTTCTCCTGATTATAACGAACTTATGTTCCTCTCTTGGGGTTAAACTTCAATCCAAACCTGTCTATAGCAAGCTCGCGGATTCGGGAGCGCACCAGGTCCTCTTGGGCATTCGATTGTTTTAGAATGAACTTGATCATGCGGAGAACACAACTACTGCCTCCCACCAACCCTAAGACCCGAGACGTGAAGGCTTGGGCAAAGAATCACAACTGAGTGGACGATTGGACCGGTCTCGCTGGTCTTCTCAAAGAGCCTCGCCATGTGCGCATGACTTTAAATGTGTTGAGGGATCAGGTTCATGGCAAATAACAAGTCTGGATTGTCCTGCCCGATCCACTCAGCAAGTGAGTATGTGTCAAAATAGCGGTGCCCACACTTCCCTTTGAAGCCACCCACAAAAAATGGTATCCTAAACGAAAAACACCCCACGCGCACAGCCACATCCCCCAGGAGGAGTTCTTCCACTACTTCAAGACTGTCTACCTTTGCGCTATGGACATGAACGCCTTCACCCAGAGCTGAGAAGCGCTCGGGTGCCTTTTTTGGGCGGAACCCCAAATTGGTGATTTGCTTTTTCGGATTTCCGGTAAAACCACGACTGACCACGAAATTGGGACCCTCAAAGCAAGACACCCTTTCGGACACGAGATGAATTGCCAGCATGATGTTTCACAGAGGTCTGCTCTGGCAAGGCTGCTGAAAGCACTGCAGTCTTGGAGCTTGCCACGGAAGCTCTATAGAAGAATGCAGAGGGGAAGCAGGAACTGGATATGTCCGATGTCATGTGAGTCACAATCGAAACCCGGGTAATTGGAGGGTAGTAAGGGATAGTCCCGACCAGAATTGGGTGCGGATAACGCCTTTGTAATGGTTTACTTTGGTTTGGTTTTGATTGCTTATGTAAGGCCCCAAAGTTTGCACCAGCGTCCGGTTGAGTTTCCTTGTGACCGAAAATGTTCAAACCAAGGAACCGTTTCGCCCAAGTTGGCGTGTGTCCCAGAGCTGCTGGCGCATGTGCAGTTGGGAGCAACTTTCGAAAGAACTTCAAATTAAAACAGAGAGGCATGATGAGGCATGCTTGCACAGCGTTATCATGACCTATTGTAGCAATTACGCCCTTAAACCGCCCCTCATGCGTTGGACGTCATTGGGATTTGCGATAAGGCGTATTCCTGGTTGAAGCACTGGTCAAACATTGAAATCCTGTTGCACCACGTTACCACCTGGCTGCTGTTTGCACCACCTGGCTCCTGTTGAAGCTGTTTGGGCGAACTTGGGGGTTGCAACAGGCAAACATCCATGATAGAAGTCTGCTTTGTGGGCAATGAGAATGAGACACATATGGCTGGGGACTGATACGCTTTCAGTTGTTGCACTTCAGCTGGCAGCACGGCCTCAACAATTTGAACAAATTGTCGCGACATCCGTTGCGACGCAACCCATGAAGAAGCTTTCTTTCGTTGGGATACCATGTTTTGAAATGTGAATTACAATTTATTGCTCAGGAAAAGTCTTCGCTGGCATAGAAAGAGTTGCTAAGTTGTCAGCCTCCAAGCATGCTTAACACCTGCTGACAACTTGTAGCTAGGCCACCGAGCGTCTGGGGTGTCTGGTGCCACCGAGTCACAGTTGGGTCGGCAACTATTTGAATGACCGCGAAATCTGCTTGCCCTTCTCAGCCTCCGAACGTGGAGCATTCCAGGGGTTGATTCCCCATTCTTTTCAATCATCGTCCTTTTCAAAAACCTGCCGTTTTCCCCGGGTTTCTGGAGTTTTCTGGAAAGAAGGATCCCTGGAAAGAATGGGGAAGGTACCTCTAGAAGCATGGAAGTGCATCTCACTCTCCGAGTTTCTGTATTGCATACTGTTCGTCACATTTTAGTGGCGAAGAGTCGGCTTTTTTTGCCTAATCAACTCGGGAGGTGAGGTATAGATCGAGTTCCTTTCCCGTTTCGTTTTCAATTCGGCTCCTCCAGTGGGACAGGTCTCCCTCACGGCACCGTGAACACGAGCTCCCAGATGGTTGGTGTCAGGTGGGTATTTTTCGGTAGAGCAAAAGAGGTTCCTAGTGTTGACATATCCTGTTCGCTTCTCTTACGGCCTTAAACCTGTTGGCTCTATTTGCGTTCTATCCCACTATCCAGTGAATGTTTAACCAGCAGAGACACATCAACGACATTTTGCCAATAGGCCGACAGGCAACTGCCAGTCTTGGCTTGCTACTGTAAAACCTGACAATCACACTCCGCAGTACTTACGGCGGGGAAAAGTTCGCTAAGGGGCGAATGCTTTGCTATATAATAGAGAGCTAGAAAGGGCAGCGGCTTCTTTCTTGGCATTGCAATCTTAGAGGTTGGGGCACGCCTTCGGCTTGACTGCCTGTACCAAAGCGGCTGCCCGGCATGTTTTGGACAATTCATGTGGTTTTTGCAGTGCTTCGCCTGTTTGTTTACAAGGAGCTGACCTGGGTGAAAACAAACGCATGAAGGTCCTTTATCGGGTCGCTCCAACTTAGTGTCTGTTTGGGACATTTTGTACTTTGGGTGTGTTTTTGGTCGGGGGACCCCCCCCCTTTTGGTGGGTGTTCAAAGGAAAACCACTTTTTGTGAGGGGTCCCCATATTTTGACACAAACATACACAAACCCATTTGCCCAGATCCACTGGAAAGAGCTTTCACAACCTCACAAGGAGGCTTGTCTTGAGGCTCGGCGCAGAAGGTGCCTCTCTGGTCTCAGCATCGTGCTGAAGGCAGCAGGCTGAATGGGCAAAACGTGTTTTTTGGGGGTCTATATCTCCCCTGGGTTGGTTGAACCATCGCCTTTGGGTTGTGAGCTCAGCGACCGTTGCATGTGTAGGTTGGGCATAAAAGGAACTGAAGAGGATTCCCTATGGAATGTCGTCTCTTCTAGTGGCCATCATCGGACTTGGTTGCTTTTTGGCTGACTGGTCGTGTCTAGAAATGTTCAAAGGAACACCTCACAAGCCAATGCTGGTCAAATATCCGCGCCTCCACACCTCCAAGCCAAGAAACGGTATGGAATTTTGAGACACACGCACGCAGGCACACACGCACGCACGCACGCACGCACGCGCCCACACACACACACACGCGCGCGCACATCAGTCGCGCTGGGCGCAGTGAAGACCCACGGCTCCTTAACCGCACTTAGGTCCCAGAAGCTCCTGCAGCTGCAACGGGAGGCGGGATTTTTGGTATCTCCGACTCTTCTGAACCTGGGATTCGGGGCCTTTTGTTTGTTTGTTTGTTTGTTCCATTTCGTTTTTGGGGGGAGCCCTTCAACAGCATGAAACACAGAGTTCCTATTTTGCCTTAGAATTGGCGTAGAACGAGTGAGGAGCAGTCTCAAGCATGAACGGTTTCAAATACACAAGTTCAACACTTCAAACCCGGTTTTCTTGCCGGTTCTTGCCGGGAAGCCCGAAATAAGCTATCCATTTCTATGGTGTCCTAGAGTCTCCCCTTCCGGTTCATTCCCAACACCCGGACTTGTTGTCATTCCGTATCGCACTTGGATCCATCCAGGCGGCAGCTGCGGCCGCGCCCAGCTTGGATATGGATCGCGGATTCGCATGGGTCCAGAATGGGTCTCTGCACCAAGGGCTGAATGTGGTTGGAGTTGGTAGACCCCACTTAAGCGCAACCAGGTATTGGGAACCTATCCATGTGGCCAAGTTCCTTGTGCGTTCCGTTTGAAACTACTTGATGGAACTTGGCTGCTATTGGGTTGGATCTTTAGACTTTAACTTTTGAGAAATCAAGGGGTTTTCCACTAACCCCCCCAAACATAAACTTTTTGCAGGGGGGTCAACAGCAACCAAGGGAAGGACCAAACGCTGTTCGATGTGCCCCTCTTGGGTTGGTATTTTGCGAAGTTTGGGTGGGACAAATTCCAGGGAATCCGCAAGGTCCTGTCCTCGTGTGTGCCGTGTTTTGTGGAGTGCTGAGGGGAAACCCACGAAAAGGCAGGACTGGCCCCAAACGAAGACCCGCGTGCCCGCCCACAGTTCCTAGGGGGGTATGTATCAAAAGGGGTGCCTCCAAAACTCGTGGTTTTTCCATTGGTTTGCATTTGACCCAACCTGAAAAAGGGCACCCTCAAAAACGCACCCACACTCCAAATGTCCTTTCTGGGCACAATGCAGTTTTGTCCAGGGCTGACAAAGAACCCTTCCTTGATGCCCCGACTGAGATTTGTTTGTGTCCCTCGAAGAGGCTTTATTTAATGGACCCAGTTTGTGACTTTGACTTTGGGGCGCTTGCGTGAACATAGTGAACACTGATTCTATGTAAGAACGGTACCACTAGAAAATTAGACATGTAATCCCAAATTCGAGAATGAGGAAAGAGGTTGCTTTTCCATCTGCTACCCCTCTTAAACTTCCCGAAAGAGGGTGCCCTTTGGTTCGGAAATGCACACACGCAGACGTCTGTATTTATATATATATATATATAGACTCGTCTGTACAGCAGGTTCACATGTCCACTCCCTCACCATAGTTTTACCCGCCTGCGTTGCTCTCGTTTGTGATGCTACCCTTTTTGCCTTTGGGATGGGATTCAACAGAACGGAGCAACCAACTTTGAGTGTTTCCGGGCATCCCTGATTTGAAGACAAAACTTTTGAAATCGTATCATGTTCAGAGGGTCACCTGAATATTGACCAACACGGTGGGGGTCATACGGGTTTATCTGCAACTCCTGGGGTGGGTGGTAGCCTCATTCCCCTTTGACTTCTCTGTCCCCAGTTCCAGTGGTTGAGTCCCCATTATTTTCCACGATCGTTCGTTTCAAGCACCAGCCAGTTCTTGAGGTTTTGGGTTTTCTAGAGATTCGTCGCGGCCTCGCTGTCAGGTGACCGGCAGAGCCCTGGAGGCCACCGTGCGGTGGTTTGCTTCCTTTGTTCAACCTCAGTAAGTTATACCATGAGCCAACCACTGTACCATGAGTCAACTGTCCCACGACTTATGTTGCTCCAACTTGCAAGTCTTCCTTCCACAGTTCCTGGACTTGATTCCTTAACACCACAAGTGCAGACTGTTTGTTCGGCCAATACACTCATGGAGTCGACCTATTTTGACTTGGCTCCACTTCAGGGGAGTTTTTAGTTGATTGTCACACCAATTCAGTACCCGCTCGCCACCATTGGGACGGAACAAACATCGCGGCCGGTTTGGATTTGCGACGGCCCAAGGACGTCTGCGAACTTCAGGGCGATTCTTCTGGCTGTGTGAATGATGTTGTTCTTTGGCCATATAATATGATATATCTCTATATAATATATAATTTACAATATAATATAATGGTTATATATATATATAGATAGATAGATCTAGTACAACACAGTTTCAGGGCAGCCAGGCAGTACCCGACGAAAGCGGGCGGCTTCCTGCGGAACGCCGCGGAGGGAAAGGGCCAAAGGACTTTGTGAAGCGGCTGACGCGTGGACATGGTGGACAACCGGCCCGCCATTGAGAGCGGCGAGCGAACAGACCATCTTGCCTCCGAGATCCGAAAACTGCGTGCGAGGCAGAGGTCTGTGGCAAGGCCCCGAAGGGCCTGGTACACGCTCGGCGCCTTGGCACCTTTTCAAGGGGGTATCAAGCCAGTTTTGGCGTGGGGGGTGGGGTTTAGGGTTACGAATGGTGGGCCCTATTGGATGGTATTTGAGGGGAACTGTTTGTACAGCACCTGGGAATCTACATGTCAAGCTATACCTGAGAGTCACATGCTCGGGAAGGCGAGCGAGGGATCTGCCTGACCTAGCAAGCTGGTGGGTCCGAAAAGGCCGCGAAAAGCAAGGTAGAAATAGCGGCAGAAACTGGCCGGCCTCACTACAGCTCGTTGCATTCACCAGCCGTAGAATAGGTTCAATACTACATGTTGGCTGCGCGAAGAGTTTTCTCCTGGGTGATGGATATAGGTGGCCAAAACCAACCGCAACGAGGGGTCTTCTTTTTGTCCTTGGCCATGGAGTCAAGAGTTTGGGTGAAGCGCCCTGTTTGCTTCAAAATCAAGCAACGGAACCTGAGGGTCTTTTTTCCCTCCTGGCTGCTGGAGGTCTACGCTTGGGCGAGTGAACTAGATTTGGGTTGCGACGCATGAGGTGTTTTTGTGTCTTCTCCCAAGGGACAAGTTGAATCCACATCGGTCATTGAACCGTCCTTCTTTTCGAAGTGGTTCCATGAAGGCGCTTGGGAATTCACCATGAAGGGCACCTCGGAGAACTAAAGCGCGAATCGAGTGAACACCAGTAAAACCTGGAGGTTGGCATGCTTAGCGCATTGGCCGAGCGAGAGGAACCCGAATACGCCATATGGGTAGGTGTAATAAACATAGGGAGACACCAGAACGGTTGGTTTCCTTTCGGTTTCCCTTAAAACCAACCAAACTAGGTGGCCCTAAAACATTAACATAGACACACATGATGGCATCTTCTACACCAAACGCCTATAAAGAGCTTACGTGTTTTGAGATCCACTGGAAAACCTGAAGGAGTTCGATGCTCAAAGGGTTCCCTTTCAGCCAACCCCTTGAAAGGGGTTGTGTTGGGGCCCGGGTTTTATTCAGAAACTGAAGGGCGCAGTTCCCAATTAAGGTCCCCTTTCAAGGTGCTGTTTGATACTTTCTAAGGGGAGTCAATCAATCCCAACCTGTTTAGGTATGGCCTGTGTTGTTTGGTTTCCTTTTCGTTCCCTCTTTCCTTTTGATTCCTTTTGGATCCCTTGGCTTCCTTCTACTCAGTTGCTCAGTGGCCCCCTTTTTCCTTTTTTTGGTGGCTGCCCCACCAAAAATGGTCTTCCCCAAAAAGGGTTCCCTGTTTTTCCAGGGTGAATGACCAACTGAGTCTAGTACTCCTTTGAAAGCCGTCCCCCTTAGCTGCATGTTCAGGCAGCTCCGGCTTCAGCTCCAGCCAAACCAAAGCCAAAAGCTCAGCCGGGCACCTGTGCAGCGGACGTGTGCCATCGTGTGCTTTGGCGCATTTTGCCAACTCATGGGTTTTGGGGCACACTAAAATGTGGACTTGGGACTTTCCATGTGGATGTTGCTGGACTTTCACTTTTTGGAAGAACTAATGGGTTTTCCGTATCAAACCACCAAAAGCCAAAAACTTTTAGCAGGGGAGCAGAAAGCAACCGCGTAGCTGTTTAAGATGCCCCCCATCATGTAACAGGGCAACAACCGACCATGTCGGGCATACGGCATACAGTATTATTGGGCACGGTATACTTAGCCAATCATTTGCACGAACTTTCCAAGTCCATAGAGGTGTCTATATATGGGGAACCCCCTGAAAAGTGATTGGTGGACATAAATGCCTAACAAAATTATGTCCTACCAAAGGGTCTCTAATTAAGATTCATACCCATATATATATATATATATATATAATGTATGCGTATATTATGTATATGCACTTATTATATATTTATAGTATGTTTATTATAACTATATTATGACATATTCAAGCAGACATCAAACAGTGGTTGTCCATAATTAAGTTTGATCAGTTTCCCACTTTGTTGCAGTTTATGCACTTTGTACCGTTGGACAGATTACCTGAGGCATGTGTTTTGATCTTGCTTGGGACATCCTCTCAAGGGATGGGTATCAAAATTGTGGCCAGCCCTTCTTGGGCTCTGAACAAGGGTCTTTGCCAAATAAGCATTGGGTTTGTCGGGACAGCTTTCAAGGGAGGCTTCCGGAAAGGTTCCCGGGCGTCTGTGTTTCTTCTTCTTCTTCTTCATGTAGAGTCTTTAGCAAGCGCCTGTGAACATCCTCAGGAAGCGCGTCCTTAGAACATCCGCAGTCGCGTTGCACAACCGCAGAGGTGCCTGATTCCTTTGTTTTTTAAAATATATTCAATTTCCTAGTCTATTTATTAATATGTGTTTTTCCTCAATTGTTTTTTATATTTTTAACCAAATCTTCAAATACACAAAGAAATTGTAGATATACATCTGGATTAATATAGAATCATAAATTCCCAACAATGGTTCATAAACGAAAATGAAGAAAACTGCGACCGACCAAGGCCAGCCATTGAAGCCACTGCGGTCATCGCAGCAGGCGCCGTCATCCGTGAGGATGTGACCTTGGGCCCGGGACCCCACCAACCGCCTGTTCAGTGTCTTAGTTGACCAAGGGCTCCCCTCTTTCCTTGGCTTCTGAGTTTGAGCTGTCTGAGCTGTTTGGGCGTTGTTCATCATTTTGGTTTCATTTCGGGCCAGACAATATTCAGGCTTCAAGTTGGCCAGTCAAGTTAGATCATGCCCTTTGAGAAACCAGCTCGAGCTACCGGCAATCGGGAAGCTAGCCAATGCCTCTGTTTTGGGTGGGTGGTTGGCTGAGCGGCTGACCTGCTGAGGAACTTCGTGTAGTCGGCTTCTAAATCGGTTGTGCTCTATTATTACGTTGTCTCCAAGAACCAAGAACCCCTCAGCTAGGTGAGAATGACCGTTGCCAATAAACCGAACAACCTTCATGGTTTGACCATGGGCGTGGGTCAATGGATGAGGTTCCCAAGCAAACCATGGCATGACCCCTTTTCTGGGGGGTTTCTAGGGGTTCCCCAAGATGGCTTGGGGTTTCTCTTGATTTCCCCGAAAACCACCCAAAAAAAGGATACCAACTTCAAACAAAAACACCCCACCCCACCCCACCCCACCCCACCCAGGTGGGCATTGATCCCATTCAATCCCGAGGTGCGGGATGCCACATCGGTGAGTTCGCCATCGCCGGGAGCCCCATGGCGTTTGAGCGTTTCGTGAGCATCCGAAGTCAAGGACACGCGGGGGACGTTTGGAGGGCGCCCCTTAGCCCTGTTTAAAGGAGAACGAAAAGGACCATGGCCATTTTTCGAGGGCCCCCCCCATTTTTTGTGACACGCTCTTTTAGTGGGGAAATTGAGGACACTGGAGGTATTCTTCATATGTTTAAAGCACGTAAGTCTGTGCGCACACATCACGAGTTATAAACTATAGTGGAACGAACAAGCCTGTTGTCCAATTCACTTGAGGTATATTAAACTATGGTCTTTGAAAGACTTTGGCCAATATTGCAGGCGCTCCATTGTACTTGGCTATAATTTTCTATCCTGCTTTTGCACTGCTTGTCTCTGCCGGACAAATGCGACGATGTGGCCGCCATTCTTGCCTGTGTGACCCACCACTTGCGACTGGGGTTTTGGCTTGGGGCAAACTTCCTGGACTCGGGATTGTTTCCAACGGCTCCGCCTTTTGCACTTGAAGCGAAACCAAAAGGAAGCCAACCGCCTAGCCTGGCGGCCTAGCTCCTCAATTTTGAGAAACCTCGCCTCGGTCCCCAAGAATTTCCCCTTTTTGCACAAATCCGCTTTGGGAACCCGGTTGGTTTTCCAGGCCTCACCTTTTTTTGGCCTACACTGTATACCTTTCAGCTGGGCCCGAGAAGCGATCGGTGGGTGAAAACACGAGAACGGATCAGCCATGGTTGTAAGTGGGACAACAATTGGTTGACTTAAGACCATGGTGAAGTAACTTGAGAAGGTTTTCGACTCCAAGTTGCAGGTCCCTTCTGCGGGGCTTTGCCTATCCGCCAGGTGGGCCCCCGTGTGGTGCTGGGCCCCAACTGCCGCGTTGCGGCCATGGCCGTGGTGGAGGAAGGGACGGGATCTTTGGCTTTGGAAAGCGGTTCTTTGTAATTACTCCTGTCCACGAGTTGTTTCTTGGACCCCCAAAAGAACGTCAGGTTCCATGTGAATTAATTGGGAGGGTGCTGGTTTGTAGTTGTAGGGTGCTGTTTTTGACACATACTTTGTTTTGGGAGGGGTGTTCTCGAAAACCCGATTTTCTCTGGTCTTGGGGAGGTGTTCTCTCTCATTTGGGACAGGGTGATGCTGGAAGAGTCAGTAAGCCCTGCTGTTCATATTAGGGGACCCCTCAACACGCTGGTTTTCCCTCTGAAAACCCACCCTCTGACAACCAACCAACCAGGGGTCCTTCAAGAAAGGACACACCCGAATGCAAATCCACTCATTATTTGAGAATTTGGGGTGTGCCCCTTGCAGAAACAAGCCCACATCCCCCTTGCAGGGTTGCTCACTCAAGACTGGAGCCTGAAACTGGCATTGAGAACTGGCGTTGGCCTCCTGCAAATGCACGTGGAGCCATGAAAAAGGCCGATTTGTCTACGCATGTTTTTGTCTGTGCCGCCTTCCCCCCAACGAGCACTCTTTGGCCAGGCGGACGTGACCCTTGGGGCAGACTGCGAGGCCTTGTGGACCCATGTCCCTTCTCCGATTTTGGTTTTGGGCGCGTTTGTGTTATATATTTTTCACACCTGGGCCGGTGTGTTCTGGGTTTCCTGTAGGAAGAAACCCGCCAAATAAAGTTCTAAGGTCCTTAGAACAACTTCCCCGTTTCGGCCGGGGCACCAAAAGGGGACCAACATGATGGTTGTTGAAGAGAGCGGAAAGAACATTCGCGATTCCCTTGGCAAGCGCCAAGTATTGCAACTTATCCCACGCAAGGAAAGTGGAGTAGTTGAAGAGGCATGGGTCACTGTGCCTCGGCGGCTTTTAGCGTTGTCATCCTGCATGACTGTCGGCTTGAGTTTGAGTCAACGCTGCCCGAAGGCTCGAATTCGATGTGACTGGCTCCGCCACGAGTGACCCGTGCAGGCGGCTTCGCGTTATTTTAGGCAAGCTTTCACGGAGGATCTGCGGACTACATTCTGAAGCACAACCACTCAGCATGAAAGGGCCCATGTTGGGTGTGTGTTTGTCAAAGTTTGTCCACACAACCAGACACTCCCAAAGTTGTATGGGAACCAGCAGGAGGTTCGTTAGCAAACTGAGCGGCTAAAAGAGGTTTCAACCAAAGGGGTTCCAAGCAGAAAGCCTAGGCCACATGTTTAGATGCCCAAGCAGATTCCGCAGTATGTTGCATTCCCTTTAGCATGTTTTCAAAGGATCCACAGGTGGGTTCAGCATCAAAAACAATACCAACTTGAAAAAGGGTATGCGGCCCAAACAATCATCTAAGAATCTACAAACGCACCTTGGACGATTGAACAAGTTGAAATAATTTCTTCGCCCATTTCAGCCGTCCGGTCCATCGTCGATGGCGACGCACGCGGAGCTATGCTGGGCGGCGCAATTGGCCGGTTGCTTTTGCGCGCTGTTTGTAGGCCAGCGAGTTTCTCAAAATGGGATGCCAGCCCATTTTGAGTGGGATTTAAGGGGAGACCATAGGGACGCCTTGCGCACTGCTTTGAGAAACGCCCACTTGGCCACATCAGGTGACAAATAGTGAAGGGTCTCCGGGCATTTCTCTCCCTTGACGATGTTAACGAGATAGTCCCAGAGCAAGCTAGAATCTCAAGCCATTGCTTTCTCCCAGCGGGCCAGAAAAACAAATTGATGTCATTCTTTGGAGGATGCTATTGCAGGGTTAATCTGAATTCCAAAGATCAATCCCCGTTTCGGTGGAATTTCTTAGGGACCAAATCTCTATCCATGAAACAGCCCTGTTTTTGGCTTTCACTGGGTACCCCCCCTGCCCTTTTCTTGAGTTTTAAATTAAAAGGATGCTTTCTGGCGGGTTTGTCTACATCCTACGTGCAGCTATATCCTGTTTGGTTCATCCGCGTGGGTGCCTTATGACCACTGAAATGATTCGAAACCCCAGCAAGATGTGGTGTGAATCATTTTTAGATTTTATGTCCTCCTGTTTTTTGCCCCGTTTCATCCGCACTGACCAATGACCACCCTCCAAGTTGTCTTAGTCGTGTCTATAGGAGCACCTCTGTCACAGCCGTGCCACTCCTCCACCCCTGGAAAGGAGGACCCCTTGTTCGCAACTGGGAATGTGTCAAAACCGGAAAAAAACAAACAACTAAAAACAAAACAATTTGGTCGTCTTCCTTTTGGTGTCCATTTTTTCACCAAACCAAAAAGGGGAAAGCCTTGCGCAAGGCTCCATCCTGGTGACCCATCCGCCGGTGCCGGCCGAGCGGGTGCCTCTAGCGAGGGGCAACACCAGCTTTCGCCTTACGGCGCTGAGGGGTGGCTATGACCTCTACCAGGCGAGGCGGAACCAAAAACAATTGGCCGGCAGGTGTATATTTTTTCCAGAGTCGGAACCACCTCAGACATGGCCCCCGGATTTCCCGGACTTGGGCTTTTCGGAAACAGTTGAGTCGCTAGTCCACCCAGGACGGGAGGGTCCGTGTATCAAGATAGGTATATACGCCATGTATGATTCTAGAGGATATTGCTATATTACGCATAATTATATTCTATGTATTAGATTTAATCAGGAATAAGACATTATAATGTTAATCGTAATAATACTAAACAAACATAACAACAAATCACAACATGTTATATTGCAACAACAAAAGTTTAGGAATTATGTAGATTAGGAGGAATGCATATCAATAATAATATGTTTAAAACATATGGACTTACACAAGTTGTAGTTTTCCTATCGGTTTCCCGTCAAACCAAGGTGAGAAGGGTCCCGAGCCGAGGATCTCAACAAGAACACACACACAATTGCAAACAACAACACAAATACAAACACACAAGCACACACAGACACATGCTACCTGGGTCCGATCGATAGAACCCAGCACCCCAACAAGCTTGAGGGCTTGGAAGTCAAAGTACATGATAAGACAAGTGCTTCCCTGGAATTCGGGCTTTACGGAGGTCCACCGCATGGAGTTCGATTTCCCTTGAAAACAAGTAAGCACAGGGCCAGCCAGGCAAGCCTTGCCTGTTTGTGGCTGGGTTTCCGGCCAGGGATGGTCAGATATGGTCATGGATGTAGGAGTTTTGACGAGGGTTGTTCTGATCACCCGGCGACAGGCGCTGGCAGAGGTTGATGATGCCGCCTGCGAGGTCTTTTCGAACACCGGGGGCAACCTTAGCCTGACTTGTGGCCCAGCGGAATTCCGACTGTGTTCTTTGCGCTAGGAGTGTTTTCCTCCCTTCAAGCAAACATCTAGGGGCAAGCGCTTGAACTTTGTGGGCGTGTACAGGGGAAAGCTTTGATTGGCAGTGTTTTGGGTAGCCTCGCTTCAACAACAGCCACTCAAGAGGGACAATTCATTGCCTCAGATTGGTTGTAAATGGTTTTGTTTTGAGGCTACTGGCCCCTTAGCGT